AATAATATTTATACTTTTTATATTAATAATTAATTTTTTTTTGAATATCTATTATAGATTTTTAAAAAAAAAATTTTTTTTTAATTTTTCTATACACAATTATTTAACAATTGACCAATTAACCCGGTTTAAAAACAATATTATTAATAAAAATTTTGGTAATTAAAATAATAAATTCTTAAATTATTTGTATTAATAATATTTATACATTTTTACATTATTAACATTGTTATTTGTATGTACATGTAATTAAAAGTATTATTAACATGTGTTTTCTTGTTAGTATAAGCAGAGCTATATTATACTATGTTTACACTATTGTCCGTAACACGACAAATATATGCAACAATATATGTCATTTGTCATTTGTCATATAAAATTCAAAAAATCAGATAGAAGATAGTTCTTATTATACGCAATTTCTTAAAAAATATGCACAGTATTTTGTTTGAGATCACCATACTACCTATGTTATATATATATTATATATATATATTATATATATAGTACATATATATATATATGTATAGCATAATATATAGTATTTAATTATTTTTTATTATATGTACAAAACAATATATTTACGATGTATGTTTGTATTATATTAATAAACACTATAATCTTTACTTAGTATCTGCTTAATCCTGTATGTTGTGGCTTCTGTCTCAAGAGTACAATGTTTAGATCAATCTACTGATAAAGATAACGCACGTTACTATCTTTATGTACGTTACTACTTTTATATATTACCACCAAATTTCCTTCCAAAATAATAAACTATGTTATCAATAGTAACTAAGTAACTAAATAAATGAGAAAATGAACCACAATTGGTTCAAAATATCCTTAATTAGATTTTGATGCTGAAACCAAATAGCTATTACCACTTTACCATTTTACCACTCTAAATTCGCATACTTTTTTGCTTGACTGACAGTGTAACATTCTTCGTACAGCGATGTACTTGTAGGTCCTTATGTTTTTTTTTTATAGAAGTTGATGGCCTTTCCTTTCTTTAAAAATTTTTACATTTAAATTTTCTAATGTTACGTTAAGTGTACTTTTGTAGGTATAAATTCGATTTCTTTCACTTATTTCCGTTACGGTTGAGTTTTCCAACTGAAGTAGAGAAAAACTCAGACACATTTCCACTTACACTGTGCATAATTGTTCGCATTTACGTTTTCTAATTAGAAATTAATTACAATGTTCAACCAATGCCCTTACTCTTGTAGGGACGAATATTGATGTGAAACAACAGTTGGTGGGCCGAGTCCTTGATGTGCTAGAAATTCTAATTGTAATGGCAAAAGTAATAGTAATTATGTTGGCTCAATGCTGAATGAACAATCCAATTAAATTACGCGAGGTGAAGTTTCATTATTAGACTTTCAATTCGTATTGATTTGATTCCCTGATTTTATACCAATTTTTTCTCTTAAATTAATACATTATGCCTATAAAGTTTGAAATATTTTGCTTAATTTAGTTTAATACATATATGGTATGTAGTAAGTATATTGTATGAGCTGATTTACTGCTGTTTAAGTAATTTAAAAAAAGCATTCCAAGGCAATGGAAACGTATCTTTAAGTACTTGAGGTAGCCCATTGGTAAAGACAAAACAACTGCTAAGCTACGTAGGTTAGGTTAGGTTGAATCGGCAGTCCAAGGGATCCATTGTATTACTGTATAAGAAACATATGCTTTTTTTGAGAAACATATGCTTTTAAATTGATGAATAATTGTTTATTATGATCCATAACAGGATCAACCTCTGCAGCTAACCATATATGACGTAATTTATC